CTCTCGAGACAGTGCTGGCAGAATGAATGTAGACAAGGTAAAGTCTTAGGGTTGGTATAGTGGTCAAGACACACAGGACAGGTGAGCTGTTCTTCCAGTTTGAGGAGAGCAGAAGAAGATAAAGATGGTTTGGTTGCCATTTTGAGAAAAAAGTAAAATTGTGTACATAAAGCAAGAACTGAAATTAAAAGTTAAAGTCAGAAGACTGTAAACAAAGATAGAGCAAGAACCAAAGAACAAACAAATAATGAAGGAGAATGAGAATAGCCTGGGGAAAGATAGCCCTGACAACCTCTTGGAATATTCTATATCTCCTGACTAAAGGAAGTTATGACAGTACACTCCTTTTATTGTAGCAGCCAAGTAATAAAGGATCTACATTAATGAATGAGATAACTGGAGCAGTGGCAGAAAGAAACAGCAAGTAAAAAAAGCTTTGAAGATGACGGAGTCTCATGACTAAAGGAAGTTATGAGTAAAATGACTTGCCAACTGCTATCTGTTTATTGTTTACCCTTCCAAATTTCACATTCAGTACATGCATGTACAGTGTACATGTAAGTGATGAATAAAATGAAAATAAAACTATTATGACTATGTATTGTGTAAACTACAGTACTCTCATTCCTACGTTGATAACAGGTGTGAGATAAATTCAATAACGTGGCAAAATCGTAAAATGAAGGTGAGGTTTCGTTTCATAATAATATTCATAACAATAATAAAAAGTACGGCAACTGCAAAAAAATACCAAATAGCACCTTTTGGTTAATATAATCATTACATCAATACATTATATGGTCAATACATGTACATTGGTACATGTACAATACTTACTGTATGAGTCAGTGGTGATGTGAACAATAGGACTGACAGGTCCCTCTCCTATTGAAGTCCAAGCAGATACACTCACTACAACCAACTGATAAGGACTGAGAGCAGTGTATTCATACACAGTGTCTATAACAGAACCCTTCCCTAATAAAAATAAAATTACACTTGATTAATGTACAGTATATGTACATGTACATGTACATGTATATGTACAGCACAGGAAGGCAGCTTTATCTGCTGCATGTGCATGTTTTTATATTGTATGGAAAGATTGAGCTGATTCCAATCAAAATTAGATTTTTTAATGATTTTAAAAGTTGCTGCACAAGTCGAAATCAGCTCAAAACTTTCTACACAGTATAAGTACATCAATATGCATCAGAAAATGTAATAAAAAATTGGGGGTGATTTCGGAGTCATTTTTTGGAAAAAACCATGGGCTATAGTACAGGGCTTTTTTCAGAAAATGGCGAGTTTTTAAAATGGCTGTAACTTGAAAAATTGAAGTCAGAATCAGCTTAAACTTTCTACACAGCATAAATACATCAATATGTATTAGAAAATGTAATAAAATTTAGGGGTGATTTCGGAGCCATTTTTCGGAAAAAAACCATGGGCTATAGTACAGGAATTTTTTCAGAAAATGGCCAATTATTAAAAATGGCCATAACTTGAAAAAATTAAGTCGGAATCAGCTCAAACTTTCTACACAGCATAAGTACATCAATATGCATTAGAAAATGTAATAAAATTTAGGGGTGATTTCAGAGCCATTTTTCGGAAAAAAACCATGGGCTATATATAGTACAGAGATTTTTCAGATTTTAGCCAACTTAAAAAAATGGCCATAACTTGAAAAATTGAAGTCAGAATCAGCTCAAACTTTCTACACAGCATAAATACATCAATATGCATTAGAAAATGTAATAAAATTTAGGGGTGATTTCGGAGCCATTTTTCGGAAAAAACCATGGGCTATATATAGTACAGGGATTTTTCAGATTTTAGCCAACTTAAAAAAATGACCATAACTTGAAAAATTCAAGTCGGAATCAGCTCAAACTTTCTACACAGCATAAGTACATCAATATGCATCAGAAAATGTAATAAGTAATTTTTGAGCCATTGCATTGCTAGTACATGCAGTCATGCACACTAGTAGTCTAGTATATGCACAGTACTAAACAGTATTAATCTATAAAGTACTACATACTACATGTATTCTTCTGCACTAACTTGTTACATTCACTGTAGTGCTGGTTCCATTGGTATGATCAATGTAGAGTGTATACGCAATAATGACACCATTAGGAGTAGAGGGAGGGGCCCAGTCAATTAATATGGAGGTGTGGCTTAATGTTGATACTGTTAGATTAACAGGAGGACTGGAAGGAGCTTTGAGAAAAAAAGAGGGAGAAAGAGAAACAGTAATTAAATCTTAATTTTAAAATGCACACCTACATGTATATACTATCATTATAAAATAGCTTAATTATTTATTATTTTTGTAATATATTTTATTGAAAATTACACACTAAAAATGCCGCATGATTATAAAATTTAGGCTATAAAAATTTTCACATAATTATACATGTACAGTACCGCTCAGCTATAACTTTACTTTTACACTCGTGATCTCCAGCACGAGGCACAGGTGGCTCTCGTGAAGAATCACTATGCACATACACACTGATAAGATACATGATGTACATGATAAATACACGATACAGGTGCTACCTTGCACTAGTGTGCATTGAGTGTATAGAGAAGCTGCACTAGTGTCGTGTACACTATAAGTAAAGTTATAGCTGAGCGGTACTGTACATGTACACACAACAAATGTACACATACATGTCATGTACATGTACAATGTAGATGTAATGTAGATGCATACATGTACACATGTACATACACCCACTAGCTTACCATCTTCACCAGTCGTTATGCTACCAACGGCCCTTGGTCCATTACCCTCTGAAGTATTGGCAAACACATAACAGCTATAGACCACCCCTGGTCTGAGACCAGTTATGTTATGCATGTAGCGTGATTGGGTCATTTCTAGCGTATCCTCCACAGGTACCAGCTGTGGCGGGATTTGGTTACAACCGACTGTGTAGTTAGTGAGGATTCCGTTTTGTTGTAGTTCGGGTATCGGTAGCCATGAGAGGGTGAGAGTGGTGGAGTTTATTAAAGTGAGAGTTAGTGATTGAGGAGGACCACTAGGAGCTAAGGAAGGAAAGGAGAAAAAAAGAAAAAAATTCATGTACATGTACATACAATGTATATGTAAAAGTTATAGTACTTAGCTTTTAAAAAGCAAAAACTTCCATAAGTAATAAATATAAAATTTTTAGGATGAAGTACCGTATAGCTCCAAATTTTTGTGGGTCAAAATTTTCGTCAAATTCGTCAGGTACTTTTGCTTGACGTAATTTTTAACCGACGAAATTTTTGTTCCACGTGGGTAGCATGCGGATTAATAACAAAAATGACGAAAATTTTTATTGACAAAATTTAATTTTAACAAGAAACTAAGATTTTGACAAAATTTTTGACTGACAAAAAATTTGGAGCTATATGGTATACATACACATTCAGACCTTAATAGATCATCAATTAATTAATTCAATTAATTCAGTTAATTAATTACCGTATAAGTGGTTTTTTTCGAGGGTTGCAAATTTCGCGGATTCCCTCCTGATTCGCGAAAATAAAATCTGCGAAAATCAATTTAATACGGTACCCGCATGGCACATGTGGTAGAATTCGCAAAATTAAAATCCGCGAATTGAAATTTTAGCAGATTTTGCGAAATATAATTCCCTTGAAAAAAATCACTTATACGGTAGTACAAAAGTGAGTTTCGGCTCCAAAAAATATGGAACATGTACATGTATTCTCTCTCCCTCCCTCCCCCCTCTATCTATTTTCTTACCACTAGGTTCAGTCATTGGTGTATCAATAGCAGGTGGCCCAGCCCCCACTGCATTACTAGCAGTTAAACTGCAACTGTAAGCCGTGAATGGTCTCAGTCCACTAACAGTTGCATTAGTTAGATCAGGAGTATAATTTATAGGAAATAAAGATGGTACAATGTTCCTTTCAAGCTCAGTGCATGAGAGTGTGTAGCCGGTGATGGTTCCATATTGGAGGAGAAGGTTTGGTGGCTCCCAGGAGACTGTGAAATTAGTAGAAGTGATTGTGTGTATCACGAAATTAAGAGGAGGTCCGCCAGGAGCTGGAGAAAAAGAAATGAATAAATTAATAATAATACATTATTATTATTATTATTATTTATCATTATTATGATTATATTCTATTAGAGTTAATAAAAATTAACAAAAAAATAGTAATGATTAATATCTACATGAACACACTTGTATTATATACTACTGTAATACTGGCTTTCTATTGTGAGTGCAATAAAGTGGTTTGGCTGCTACTACAAGTACATGTACACAAATTTGCCAAAATAAAATCTGCTAATTGTAACAACTTGTCAAATGTAACTCCAACAAATACTTCTACCTGTACGGCTTAAGTATACTGATATTGTATAGCACTATTTCAATAAATGCACGTACACGTACATGCATGAATATGCAAGTATATAGATGTACTACTCTTAAATTTTAATTTTTCAAATTTTAATTTTAAGACAAATGCAATTTGTCGAATTATAGAAGTACTTTAAAACTTTTTAAAAATAATTCAAAATAATACTAATTATAACTATTAATAGTAAGCAAAAATATTTATTAATAGTAACGACAATAATAATAATAAGGATTACCAACAATAATAATCATAATAATAATGACAACAAGCGTAACAGGGTAAAAAGTATTCCTATAATTGATTTCACCACCTTGCAAGTACAACTTGGTCATTATTAAGACTTATAGAGGTTCTCTCTACCTTATAATGCTTCTAGAAAAGTTTTTAGACAGTATCTCTATGCTCTCTTGCTGTTAGAAAGCTCTTAACTTTGTCCCATGTGTAAGCCGCCATTTTGTTTGCCGTGACCACACCCACTCACGTAAAGGAGCGTGGGCGGGTGGTTGCTAAGGCTTGTTATTCCTCCAATACAACGTGTATAGAAGAAATGTAAGTGTGGACATACAAATATATATATATATATAGATAGCGCGACGGTGAATTCAATTATAGGAACGACCTGGGGGCTTCGCCCCCAGGTCGTTAAAAATACTAATAATATCATTACCTTCTTGTATAGTACTAATATAAGCAGTAGCAGAAGGACCAGTACCAGCATCATTAGAAGATGTCAGAGTACAATTAACAAGAGTCCCTGGACGGAACCCACTCAGAACAAACTGAACTGAACCACCCTCGTTGACGATACGAGGAAAACTGGGCGTGGTTATTAAATTAACAACTCCACCCACAGTTTCGTAACAAGTAAGATTATAAGCTAATATGTCACCGTTCCTGTGTTCAGGGGGAGGGGGGTCCCAGGAGAATGAGAGAGACCTTGAGTTAGTGTTAGTGTTTATTGTAAAGTTACTAGGAGGAGCAGTGGGGGCTGTAGAGAATAAGAAAAATAGATAAAATAAATACATAAAAAATAAAATAATTTAAAAATAAATTACATGTTTACAATAGGGAAAATATATAAATTATAATAATTTAAAATTAAATATACATGTACATGTACATGTAGATGAATCGAGGACCTTAGCTTCTGCTGATTTTGCGACAATAAAATCCACAAAATCTAAATAGTACATGGCAAAATGCTTGATTTACACGTACTAGTACAAAAGTATAAATGATTTTCTTAGTGAAGATCTAATCCTTTAAAATTTTTAAATTAAGTATGTGTACGTTGAAAAATTAAAACAATGTTATGTAATGAATTTAAGATCTCACGTTTTTCTCTTGTCTTAAAACTATTAGTATCACTTTCAGTAGACCCCTCAGTATTAGTTGACCTAATCCTGAAATGATACACTGTATCATGAGTCAAATCAAATAGATCAACCGTTAACACGGAATCAATGATACTGAAATTAGTTGATCCATTAACGACAGAACTTAGGTCATTCATATTAGTTGAATTAGTTCCATAAAGTACAACATATTCCTCAGGAGTGTATGCTATACTGGGGACTATCCACCTGATGGTGGCTGAATTATAACGAATGTTGACAGCAGAAGTGTTTACTGGAGAATGAGGGGGTGATGGAGCTGGGGAGAGAAAGAGGGGGGAGAGAAAAATAAACTAAAATGCACTTTGTGTAACGATAATGTTATTGCTTAACAAATACAATAAGCCAGATATACATGTACATGTACATATAAATCCAGTACATGTACAGTACAAACAATTGGATGTTTTCCAACAATGAAACATGTCATGGGCCAAAACTTTACAAAAAGAATGCTCATTCTACTACTTTACAAATACAAATACATTTGTACATGTACACTTGATAATTTCAGTATGAGCATGACATAATTAATTGATATAAAGTACTGACATTACCCAGTACCAAGTACATGTAAATGTAATGCAATTAAGCACTACATGTTTAAAAAAATCATAAAAAATCCAAACTTGATCGGAATCAGCTCAAACTTGCTAAACAACATAAGAACATGTATATGTATCAGAGAATATAATAAAAATAAAGATTTCTCTCCTAGTCAATTTTGATGAAATTTAACTGGACACCTTGCACTACAGTACAGGGTTTTTGGCGAGTTCTTATGCATCAGAAAATACTGTCACCATTGTCTATACCTGAAAGACTTTGATTCTTATTATAATTACTATATCTACAGACAAATTACTATCACTATATACTAGCTGCAGGTATCATATAACCATTACAGGAGTATCACATAATCATTGACATTACTATTACTATCAGTCTATCACTCATGCCTACTATACAATTCAACTCTTCTATTGTACATGTACAATGTAATTATACACATATAAGTACATGTATTACATTCCCCTTCTCCCTACACTTACCAGTCACTATTACACTAATAGCATCAGTAGTACTAGCAGTAGGATCACCAGGTACACTCACTGATACAGTACATGAATAATTATAGCTACCAGCTGTGGTATAAGTTTGCTGTAGGGAGCTCTCACTAACAGCACCAGTTGGATTAGTAGCTGGGGTTGCACTTGATACTGAAGGACCAGACCATGTAAGTACTTTAGGGAACACTAGAAAGTCAAAGGTTATCAGTTGTAAGGTAGCAGTACACATTAGTGTAGCTGTGTTGTATGAAGGATGATTAGGAAGGTGGTATCTTGTGGAGTTTAATAGTACTGCTGGTTTGGGAGCTATATAGGGAGGGAGAGAGGGAGGGTGAGGGAGGGAGGGAGAGAGAGAGATTGAGGGAGAGAGGGGGGAGGGAGGGAGGGAGAAAAGAATTGAAGTGGTAAACAATGGTGGGGGGGCAGAGAGAAAAGGGAATTGGAAGGAACAAAGAGAGAGAGAGGGGGAGGGTAGGTAAACTAAAAACAGTGAAAACAATATTAACAAGAGACAACAGGTGTAGCAAACCTGTTTACACAAGAGATAATCTCATGAATACAAAGATACCAAACCACATGTACATTACATGCATTGATAGCCTCATACACACATTAAATCATATCACATCAGCTATATCAACAGGAACATACAATGTACATGTACATGCATTTATAAATAGAATTACTTACCAACAATGTCATATTCATTGGTCCTGCTAATAGAAGCATTGACAATATAACTTGATAAATAATTTGACGACACGCTGACCATGCAAGTGTATACACCAGAATCCTCAGAAGACACAAAATATTGAAATTGTAAAGTCTTTCGATACTGCCCTCCACTAGGATTACTCGATAACTGTTGTAGGTTTTTCCTCCCATTAGAAGAAAGTCCAGAAGGAACAATTGTGTCATTGAACAGTATATCAACGCTGACTGTAACTGTAGGATCATTGTGTATGTATAATGAATCAATGGAACATTGAAGGTCACGTCTGAGGCCAGCGTAATAGGGTGGGGATAGATAGTTAAGAGCCAACACAACTGAATTAGGCTCAGGCACTGTAAGAGAGAGATAGGGGAAAGAGAGAGGGAGGGAAAGAGAGTGATGTGAAAAAAGAAGGTTAGAATAAATGATAAAAAAGAAATAAATAAAAAAAAGGAGAAGTGGAGATAAAAAGAGTTACATGTACATGTACATGTATATGTACATGTATGTGGGAGAGAGAGAGAGAGGGGTTGAGGTCAGACAAAATAACATCTGTCATAACTCACAACACTATAACAACATCACACAATATCACTCACCATACTGCAGTCACACCACATGTACATGTACACATACATATATTAGCCGCACAGGTATACATGCATGTACATGTACATGCAATACAGCTACATGTATAATCACTACCAGTGACTATAGATAGTGTCATTATTATTAAGTATAATCATGGAAAACAACTCAATACAGTAACTGATGCATTTTCACTAATAAGGAATGAGTGTCAGTGAGTAATCCTACTATCAGCAGTGTATGCATTATTAGTGTGTATAGTGGTAGTCTGTGATTGGGTTGATAATGATAAAGCTTCCTTATTCAATTTCATTCTTTCTGGAGTGTTTACACACACACATACACAGGCTCATGATTATGTCTCCATATCTCAATCATTGTACATGCATAGTCACATCATACATGTACATGTACATATTTATTAATACTGACACTTTTAATTTTTTTGCAGCTATTAAAAAGCTCTGAATTCTCTTATTTCTCTCTCTCTTTCTTCCTCTCTCTCTACAAAATTTCCTTCTTTCTTATTTCCCCTACATATGTACATGTACAATGCACAATGTTATCCATACTTACTTGACACAGTGATTAGTGTGGTATTAGACACAATGAGATTATACCCAGTATCAATATAAGGAGACGAAACATTAGCCACGCAAGTATAATTACCAGCCTCTTGAGAGAGGACCGTACCAAGATTAAGATTAGAAGTTCCCTCAGCTAGATTAGTAGTGATACCATTACTAGTGAAAGGAACAGTGTCCTTGTACCAGGTTATGGAAGCAACAGTTGGATTGAGTGAGTCTGGTAATAGTGCAGCACACATTAGGGTGTACTCTTCTCCCAGTGTGAGAGATAGATCAGGACTGGGGTCTAGGGAGAGGGACAGGTAGGGAGCTGAGAGAGGGAGGGAGGGAGGGGGAGAGGGAGGGATTTAGAAAAAAAAGAATAAATAAATGTACATTTTTAGGAGTACAATCTAGCAATTGTACAAGTACATGTACATGTACATGTACATGTACATTTATGGAAAACGATACAATAAAAATGGTTTAAAAATAAACACAAAAAAATAAACAATATAAAGCAACAAAAATACACATGTATCTCGCTACAGGGTAGACCCTTCCAATAAAATAAACATAGAAAATAAACAAAAAATTTATATAAATAATTCCAAATAACCCAAACAAAAATATAATAACAATAAATGATTCAAAAAATAAATAAAATAAAAACTGAACCTTAATAAATTATTATGTATCAATCAACATACCATCAATATCAACCCTAATGGTAGCTCTACCATCCACAGCACTACCATTGACAGCATCACAGGAGTACTGGCCAGTGTGAGATAGTCTGATGGGACTCAGGTTAAGCACCCTACTAACAGAATCAGCATCCTCTCCAATACCACCAAGCATCACTCCTTTACTCATATCAGAGACTATAGTTACATTATCCTTCATCCATCTTATCTCCAGTGAGACATTATTAATCTTATTAACAGTACAGTTTAGATAGAAAGATTCACCAACTTCCTGCGATCCCATGGTCGTCACGGCAACTCGTACATTACCGGCCGCTTGCACGGTCACAGACCCGACCGTGGTATCTATGGTAACGTTGTTATGACGCAGTGATTTGACCTCGCACCTATATGTGCCGAGACGATTCACGGAATTCTCAACAATGAGGTCATTCTTATATGTACACTGCTCCCTGTCCATCACCCTTTGGTTCATTGTGAATCCACTGCCAGGGGATAGCTGGACATTGTTGTGCTTCCATACAACTTGAGTTGCTGGCCAGCCAGTGGTTATACAGGTGACTATTATTGACTCGTTATTAGTGCTGTA